GAAAGCAAATCAAAATGTATTCTTATTATTATTAATTTAGAGTTTCACGTTTTGAAGTCTCATTTTATGGATGTTGCTAAAACGTGGAACAGAAAACAGAAAAAAATTATTTCCAGTTTAAAAGTCATACTAAAAACGCTATACGTGATTTTCATATTTAATAATTGACTATAAAACGTGAGTTTATTTAAACAATAAAATTATTTCTTTGGTTGATAGTTCGGAAAACATGTCGCAGCTGTTGCAAAAAAAATGTAATAAATAAACCGCGTAAATCCCGCCTTCGCGTTTCATAGAATTTTTTCTGCGATAGGTGCGACGTTAATTCAGGCACTAACCAAAGAAAGACATGATTTAATATTAAACATTGATAACTGTATAAATAATCATTGTTAGTAGGATTGCCACTTAAAATTAAATCTGATTAAGTAATATGCATAGTGTTGTTCATGAACAGATGAACGCCAATGGTTTTCTTAATAAATCGGAAAAAAAAATCAGTGGATATAGTCGTGCACTCTCAAGATCCCTCAACAAAGTTATGGCATAGGGGACGGAAACTGTACCGAAAATATCTAATGCTGTACATAAACATGTAACTTGTCGTTGTGAAAAAATTTGGATGAGTGGGAAAACTTTATTGAAGACCTCTTGAAAATTATGATGTAATTTCCCTATCAATTCCATTTTCAATTCTTAATGTTATTACTGGCAATTAAGTTGTGCTGTTTTGCTCAGTTTTGACTAATATTACATATTTTTTATTCACAGTTAAGGTGCCTGTTGATTCCATCAAATTTAAAACTCCTGTAACTGTACAAAAAATATAAGAAAATTTTTCCCTTTATGCAAGTGAAATTTGTCTCTAACACAAGTATTATACTCTCCCACTCCCTTTCTCCGTTTGTTTTATAATACAACCTTTTTTCCCATTCATAATAAATGATCCATAACGACCAGACAGGTAGTGTCCTACCTCATCACTTTTATAAACTTATAACTTTCAAAATGTACATTAAAAAGCCCCCCGACCCCCTTTGTTGTAATATAGTCACTGAATTTAAGGGTTTTGTAATAGTGAATATTGAATAAAATTTGGTACTGAAAGAAGTTACACCCCCCCCCCCTCCGTAAAATACACTGTATTCATACAAAATAAAAGTTACGAGTTTGTAATTTTTTTTCAAAAGTACATTATATGGAATAAAATTTGGTACTGAAAGAAGTTAACCCCCCTCCCCTCCTCCTTAACATACACTGTATTCATACAAAATAAATTTTTCCTTATTTTTCAAATAATTTTTTTTTCTCGCCTCTAAACTCCCCCATAAGAAACTCTTCCCCTGCATCTCTACAATGTTAATGCATTTGAAGACAAAATACCAAAAGATAACTTGCAGAGCTATTTAAGAAATATATTCATCAATGTTGAAATAAATGCTGATAACGATCAGAATTCTGGATGAAGAGTCCATTCAAGCATTGTTAATCAAGAGTAGAGCCAACACCGACTTCTATGGAACGCTTGGACAATCTTGAAATGAGGAAATAAAATTCACGATGTGTATTTATTTTTTTTGTGATGTCCTTTTTCTCTTTAAGTGATGTGCTTTCAATATCGGCCGCAGCAACACCCAATGTATTTGTGGTTGTGTTAGAAAGTTTACCCTTTTTACCAATCCTAAAGGTGCACCAAGCCAAGAACAGCGGAACAACCAGGCCAATGCCTCAACAGGAGTCATGAATATAGTAGGTTGATTGATTGATTGTATGTTGTTTAACGTCCCTCTCGAGAATTTTTCACTCATATGGAGACACCACCACTCACTGGTGGAGATCGAGCTGCAAATTTTGACCTATATTCGGCACTTAGGGCCGTTGGGCAGTGAGGGATCTTTTTCGTGCCAGCACCTACTGCGACACGGGGCCTCGGTTTATACGGTCTCATCCGAAGGACCAGTCTCCACGTCCCACAGTGGGATTTGAACCAACAACGTAAGGATTGACTCCTTACTTCGCGACTCTAGAGCAGACGCTCTAACCACTGCGCCACGCAGGCGACCAGGAATATAGTAGAGAGAGCATTTTGAGTGCTGAGGTGCAGATTAAGGTTTGTGGAATTATGACATCCGATTTTCCTCTACTTCAGGTGACAAATGATTTATTTTTACATTATAATTCACTTCTTTTCAGAGATGCCTGCACAAAACAGGTGGGAGTCTACATTATACATCTATAATTATTCACATTATTCGCCTATAGTATATATACATGCAGCTGTTTCAGGCTCCATAATAAAGCAATTAATGAAAGACTCCTTCTCCAAGTTACAGATGATCTAATCCAAATTCTTCATGACAACACTGTGTACAAAGGAAATGCCGTTTCAAAGAGATTTTAAGGGAGAACACAAAACATACAAAGTCACTTAGTGAAATTGTAAATAATTAAATAAACTGCATTGAAATCAAAAATTGATTTTGTGTAATTAATTTAGTGGAACATCAATAAATATTAAAATTATAAAAGATGACCATTTTTATATTAAAAAAAAAAATAAAACCCATTCAGCACTGTATATGGAAATCATTTTATCCAATTGCAAAAAATCAATCTGTAAAAGTAAATGAAAAAGCCATAATTAGGATGAACCCTAATACGATGGTCTACATTTCAAAATAGTGTGTTTGTAGCTGTTTATTACATGTATAACACGATTATTTACATGTATAAATAGACAGTATTTAAATATAATATACAATGATGTATATAAATAACAAGTTACCATGAGTTTATATAAGGAAAGGGAAAATACGGAAGTACCACAGCAAAGCGAGAGCAGCAATGTAAATCGGACACAATGCTCTTATCCATTTTAAAGCAGAATACGCCTATAAATAATTTGCTACAGTTGTCTTCAAACGGAGGTCAAGGAATTCAAAAAAGACACTCTGGCTCACCGTTCTTTACCTTGCTGCAGAAATGTAGCTCTCCGCGAAAAAAAATATATTGAAGGACCAGAAGAGCTACAGAGCCGTCCATTCTAAATAACTGTATATTACAGCGTAATACAGATGCACGGATAAAGAGGAAGTTGACATCGGACTTGAACAAAAACTAGAGGTTCTGTGAGTAATGAGCTCACTAAATGATATCCCCCCCCCGCGCCTCCAACATGAATATAATGGAAGTGTCCATGTTTTGTTGTGGGAACCCAAAGTAAAATAAGAGATGCACAAAGGAAATATGTAGTTACTGTAAAAATTCTGTAAAAGTTTAATCAAATTTCATTCAGTGGTATGAGAGGGGTTGCAGATTAGAGAAGTGTTCCCCAAAAAGTAACAGACAGACGGACGGACGTATTGATTACTATATACCCTCCTGCTTTACAAGCAAGGGGTATAATAAATCCAGCCATATACATGTAGCATACATTGGCGTCGGAAGCAAATTGAAAGTGGGGGGGCTAAGTGTAACCAAAAAAAATTTTTTTGTACCTTCACAAAAAACCTGACAAGCAAAAAAAAAAAAAAAAAAAAAAAAAAAAACACGAAAATCCTATTTCGTGGGGGGGGGGGGGGGGGGGTTTAGTGGTAGGTTCGAGGTTCAGTACCAATTTTTTTTTCCTAATACATCCACTTTTCCCAATTTTTAACCTATACTAAGACATATCTTTGGAAAGTGGGGGGGCTAAACCTAGGAAGATATGTTCAATGTCTATACTAAGTATATATTTGGAAAAAAAGTGGGGGGGGGGCTAAGCCCCCCCTAGCCCCGGTTCCGACGCCTATGGCATACCAAAGAAAAGATAATGTTTAAATTCAAAGTATCTGCGATGAGTAGTTGCTCAGAAAACTGCGACCAAGATTTGTTACGGACAGACATACAAGGGTATATTTGGTGCGGGGATATTCATGTTAAACTGCATGAAGATGAATGCACGTTGTTTTTGCTAACAATAAAAAAAAGACGATTTCTTTTCGTTTGCGTTCAACTAAGTGACATTCTAAAAGATATCGTTTTGTTGGCTGACAAATACTTCACGTTTCAGAAGATTTCAACAAAAAAGTATATTTTTCTTACTTATTCCGAAATATCATCCTACACATATTTTGACATGTAAGACCCAGCATCGTCTGTTTTTTGTTTTTTTTTTTTTTGTAATTTTTAGGTCACCATGTTCCTTTTCTTCCTGGTACACCTGCACCTGCTTTAATAATAAGGAATCCTCTCTAAAAGGTATGAAAGTTCTACATTTTCTTTAAATCTGCAATAGTTTTTTTTAATGGAATATGTTATCTTTCATTTCGCACGTTACACTTTTCTGGCAAAGCTTGTACTTTTCATAAATTCAATTTATGTATTGAAATTTTTTTAATAATGAGCTTCTATTTTCAGGTCAACAAATAAGGTACTGTAATAGGAATAAAGTAAAGCAAAATGGCTGAACACAATTCGGATCAGGTAGGTTTGTCATCATTGAAGTTACAATATTCTTCACCTTACACCATTAAATGTTCATTGATATCGATTATCATAACGTCAATTTATTTTGTCAAATTTTAATTTTAACTGTAAATATTATGATTATCGTAATACACACATTTCCATTAAAGTGTCAATTTCGCATTATTTTTTAACAATGAAAAAACTTGAGACGCTTGCAAATTAATGTGCTCAAACAATTCATTTTAATTTTGACAAGCTATTTCAAGATTCGGCTAGCAATTCCATGCACGTCATTAGTTATGGAAATCAACAAGAAATTATTTTATCATATATCACAAGCCCTTGTATCTCTTAATCAAACCCGACTTTGAAAAATTGGGGGTTATAATGAAGATATCACAAGTCAAATTTTTGCCATGTAAAGACCTATGTTTGTTTTATATAATTAATGCGAGCGTGCGACTACATGTACTTTATACATGTATTACTTTTTAAGACTCAAATTTCTTTTGTATATATTATCATCATATTATCTCTTCCTTCCAGAATTACGAAAACCCTGCATATCAAACTGACGAGCAAAATCCATATGAAGTCTTGGTAACTATGCAAATGTCTTTTTTACGCTACATTAATAAATTGTTTTTTTACCTTTCCTAAATCATTAATGTATGATTGATTGATTAATTTGTATACTATTTAACGTCCCTCTCCAGAATATTTCATTGATATGGTGACGACACCATTGCCGGTGAAGGGCTGCAAATTTGGGCCTATGCTCCGCACTTAGGGCCATTGAGCAGGGAGGGGTCTTTATCGTGCCACACCTGCTGTGACACGGGGCCTCGGTTTATACGGTCTCATCCGAAGGACCGCCCCATTTAGTCGCCTTTTACGAGAAGCAACGGGGTACTGAGGACCTATTCTAACCCGGATCCCCACGGAAAGATTAATGTATGAAAATATATTTCAGAAGATAACCTTTTTGTGAATAGTAAAAATGTGCTTCCAAAATGTGTTCCAGATTTTTAGTCCTTTATAAATATTTGTTCGAAATGAGGTCCACTGTTTTTGTTAAAATATCATTTATAATATCAGGATACTTGATACTAGTATGACTTTTTTTTTCTCTGTATGTGGTGTTTGAGAAGGGTTTAAATGGCTCTATCCTATTGTGAATTTTTACCTGTTTCCTATTGCCTTTATTTTTTGTGCATCAATTGCCATATATTTTATGAAACGATATACATAAAACGCACATTTTTACTTAATCCTCAATCCTTTTACTCACTATACAGTGGATTTATAACCTTATAAAGTACACAACAATGTAAACTTCACACAAATTTCATGATTAAAACAGAAAGCATACAGCAGTTGTGATCATTCGAAAGGGGTTTCTCACTCCTCCATGGCAACTGACCCCCCCCCCCCTCAGATATTTTGGTGGTCAGACCCCCCCCCCCCCCAGATTGTTTGCTCTGCTCCTACATGTATTTTGTACTATTTAATGAATACTGTTCGTACTGTTTGATATCTTCATATATTTCATTTAAATATAAATCTACGTAGTTTATGTTCCTGTGAATGTATATTGTATTAAATAAATTCAGTGTCTTTTAAGCTGAGGCTAATGACCATTGGTATTCTAAACAAATACAGATCTACATGTGTTTGAAATTTGAGGAAATTGTTCATTTTTTATAAATGATCAGACAGAAAAGTCTCATCTAAATGATTAAAAATGGAATATATTTAGACACAAAATCATGCACTGATTATTTTTTTTCCAGGAAAACGAGGATGCCGAAGGATATATTTCGGTAAGAATTTAAGGCCATTTTGTTGATAAATTTCCTTATTTGATTTACCAATCAAATATTTCTATTTCATTGCTTATAATTTTGATATTTGTTTGGAAACATTCGGAAAAAACTTCTGGAAATTTGATGAAACTAACGTACATGTAGCTGAATAATAAACTTAATGATAAGTCTTTTAAATCATTAATGACCTCTTTTTTTTTTTTCATGAAGATAAAAAATATTAAAGCAACCCCTAAAGCGTTAGGAAGAGACCTGGAAGAAAATCATCGAAAATCATCAAAGACCTTTGCAAAAACAGTTTGTCTTATCTTCGTCATCATCGTCGTTTTCGCGTTCGTCGTTGGCTTTGTTACGATGACTTTCTTGTTCCTTCAGGAAAAGAATAAAAATGACGGTACAATGTTTTTATAATATTCTTCCTTGAAAGAAAATTTTCATAAAATTTACTTTTTAAATTGAACTCAGGTTGGTTTGGATAAGAGAATGATAAGCAGTTGACAAATAGTAAAGAATTTGCTTCTCAAATTACTCACTCACCGTGCCCTCAATATCTGCAAACCTTGAGCAGTGGTTTAAATTATTATGAGGTGGTCCTTCATTCGATTGATATTGAACTCTTATGAATTAAACATTTAAGCCCCTCGCTTTAAAAGTTGGAGGGTATATAATGATCGGGATGTCAGCCCGTCTGTCAATACACCCATCTGTTACGCATTAGGAGTACCGTTTCCATTCGAGTGAAAAATTCTCGAGAGGAACGTTAAACAATAAACAAAAAATATATTTAAATTATTTGGAACAATATTTTATAAGGGTTTTCTTTATAAATTTGAGCTAAATTTTCCCGTTTCGGTAGAAAAAAATACCTTGACCCTTTTTTGACAATCTAACTTATCTAATATTGACACTTGATAATTATGCATTATAGGTTCTCTGGATTCATCGCCAAAAGGAACCATACAGTCATTGATACAGGATAAAATTTGTGTGGACGAAAAATCAAATGTATTGAGAACGTACAACGCTTTGGGTGAGAAGTTTTAAAGGCCCTTGATATTTCTCTTTCTCTCCCTTTCTATGTATGATTATATCGATCATTTAAAGATTTTCTGTTTGACAGGCAGCACAGGGCGCAGTTTTCTTGTAACCTTTATCCAGAATCACATTGAAGTAAATGAAACTCATAGAAAGATACTTGTTTCTTCGGAAAATGATTTCAACATGACGGTCACACTTTCAGATAGTCGAAGTCCAAATTTATTAACTACAAGTACGCGCAGAACTGGAAATAGGATATTGAAAAAGATAAGTGTTCATTATTCGATGATTCCCGCTTATTCGGTGATAGAATCTAAGGCTCTTCGTATTACAACATCAGCGTTGACGACTGTATTAATACTAGACGAAGGTGAATACACATCTGACAGTACCTTAGTTTTCCCCATAGACAAGCTATCTAAATACTACATTATTTCAACAGCACCGCCTACAAGGGAATTTCTGGACAGCGGAAGTCACTTTACGATCGCTGCAACCACAGACAATACCCATGTCAGTATAGTCTTTGCTATAGATCACAATACTTCAATTTCTCTTCATGACAAAGAATATGGTAATGGTGATACTTTTACGGTAATATTAAATAATTTTCAAACATTTCAAATTGGACATAAGGCAGATTTGTCGGGAACAACGATAAATTCTACTCAGCCCATTGCCGTATTTGCAGGAAACAAATGCAATAATTTAGGATATCACGGAGCATGCAGCATGCAAATGGAAATGATTCCACCAGTTGACGAATTCGATGACGTTTTTATCGTTCCACCAAACATAAATAGATACCAATCACTTGTAAGAATAATTGCACCTTTTCAAACAAAAGTTACATACACTTTCGGTGGAATGGAAACTACAACTACGCTTTTAAAAACTCGTTATACGGATTTCACCACTCGTGAAAACGAAATAAGTCTCATACAATCTGCCAAACCCGTACTAGTTAATGTTTTTGCCGCTGGTTCAACCAAATCTCAGGTCTACGGTGACCCTTACATGATGACTGTTCCAGGAATCAACCAGTATCTCAATCAGTATATTGTTGATGTACCGGAAGGATACAATTTTAGTTTTGCAACTTTCATAATAAGGAATGAATCAATATTTCACCTCCAAATTAATAACACTAATATCCATGAATACGATGTGGTCTTCCATTCCACGATAACAGTGGGACCATATCTATTTGGCGTAATGACAGTAAACGTACCTAGTGGCGTGATTCAAGTTGAATCAACAGACGGTTCTTTGTTTGGGATGCTTATCTACGGACAGAGGAGGCATGACGGTCATGGTTATGCGGCAAATGCTCTGTTAACAAGAATTTGCAGAAAATAACATCTGGATATTTCTAAAACAAACTATACTTATTCAAACGTTTATGTTTAATGTGTAGAATTTAGACGAGGCATGATTGTTCGGTCATGGTTATGCTGCAAATGCTCCATGAACAAGTATTTGCAGAAAATAACATATCCGGATATTTCTTTAACAAGCTATATTTATTGAAACATTTATGTTTAAAGAGCTAGTAATATGCATATCTACACATTGCGTCCTAAATATCTGCAAAGTTTTACAAAATTCTGAGCGGTTACTGAGGAGTTACACTGACAAAAAATAAAAAGACGGACTGACTGACTGACGGACTGGTCAAACCATTAAACTTCCCGCAACTTTTCGCGCTGGGTATAATACATATAATTGACTAACAATTAGTATGAAAAACGTCAGTCAGCATTTGACTCAATGACAAATTGAATTTGATGAGAAGGTCATTGTATCGACCATAGAATTTACTAAATCTTGCTCGAACTATGAACCCTGGGAATTGGCGCAAGGTCAAGAGAAGTATAACAAGGGGCCAATCTGTTAAAATAACAGAAGGGTCAAAGTATTCCACGTAAGCAATATGGCCCATGGGCCTGTTGTCTTTATTTAAATTAGACTATATGGTTTTGAAAAAATTCTTGCGCCCAGCACATGTAGTTAGAAAGTTTAACAGAATGTCTATTAGCGCTTTTGTATGTTAAAAAAAAGAGGGTGATTATAAGAGTAAAAAATCAGATTGTAATAATTTTATTTTGATAACAAAAATGTTAAAATATAACACATACATAAAAACATGTCCGTTAAACACTTATCTCCCCACCTGGGCATACATGCAAATGTGTGAAATTGAATGGAAAATGCGAGTAATTCAAATTTTTTAACTTTAATTTTTATTTAAATTGTTTGGTCGTAATATATATGACATTATCTCATGGTAAGTCTGTTTAAAAAATTTCAGTTAGGTATATGCAACATAGGCGTCGGAACCGGGGGGGCTAGGGGGGGGGGCTTAGCCCACTTTTTTTCCCAAATATATACTTAGTATAGACTTAGCCCCCCACTTTTTCCCCAAAGATTTACTATGTATAAACATTGAACATTGATTCGTAGGTTTAGCACCCCCCCACCGCCACTTTCCACAAAAACGTCGCAGTATAGGTAAGACATGGATAAAAGGTGGTGTTTGGAAAAAAATTTTGGTACTGAAGTTCGAATCTATCCCCCCCCCCCCCCCCACGAAATAGGATTTTCGTGTTTGGGAAATTTACATTTCTTTTTCTTTTTTTTTTTTTTTTTTTGCTTGTCAGGTTTATTTGAGGAAGGTATTAAAAAATTTTTTACACTTAGCCCCCCCACTTTCAATTTGCTTCCGACGCCAATGTGCAACATCTGCAAAGAAAGTGATTATAAAAATTTATTCTAGCCCAAGGAGTATCACTCAGTAAAATTTGCTCTATCATATCACAAACAAAATTTGACCTCATGATAAATCTGTATACCAAATTGTGCAATTTCTGCGAAGAAAATTACTGCAGAAAATGGTAATATTAAACTGATAGAAGTTGTTTTTATATATATATATAAACACGTCCATGTATTCGTTTGAGTACAACTAGCTTACTTTAAATAATTGACCTCTTTTTAAAGAAATAAGTTATGTTCGGGATAACCCGTAAAAAGTCAGTCTTAGAGCTAAAAAAAAATTCGTTTGAATCTTACAAAATATTATCAATTAACTTGATTTACAATTACAAATGTACCTTAAAGTTTGTATCAAATTTTTTTGATAAAGTTAATATATATAATGTATTTACATGATATTTACATATTTTACATTATTGATTACAATTAATAAATTCGACAGTAAACATTTCAGAATAATGGTTCATTGTAAAATCTGTATTTACTCATAGCTTAATATCACTAGATTTTGTCCGGGAACTTTGCTGTATGTACACGATTTGTTGAATACTAGTAAATGTCAAAACAAACAATTAGAATTAACGTGCAAAAAAAAAAAATGATTCCATTCCTTCTACAATTAGAAATTGAGAGATATTATGCTTTCATGTTATATTACACAATGTCAAATTCTTTAAAGGAGAAAAATTAAAAAAAAATTTCCTATCAACATCACAAGTTCACTGTTGTTTTGCGATGTTATAGCCAATGAGAATTTTTGATCTCGGGAGAGCGGCTCTCATTAGGGAATTCCCCTCTTATTAGCTCACCTGAGCCGAAGGCTCAAGTGAGCTTTTCTGATCAAAATTTTTCTGTTGTCTGTCGTTGTCGTCGTTAACTTTTCACATTTTTATCTTCTTCTCAAGAACCCCTGGGCCAATTTCAACTAAACATGCCACAAAGTATCCTTGGGTGAGGGGGATTCAAATGAAGGACCACGCCATCATTCAAAGGGATGTAATTGGATATAAGTGAAAATTTGTTGGCATGTTTTAAAAATCTTTTTCTCAAGAACCACTGTGCCAGGAAAGATGAAACTTATATGGGTAAACATCCTCAGGTAGTGTCGATTCAAGTTTGTTAAAATCATGACCCCCGGGGGTAGGGCGGGGCCAAAATGGCCGATCAAAGTTTTACGTAGAAATATATAGGAAAATTCTTTAAAAGTCTTCTCCAAAATAGCAAACGCTTAATTGATCATAATTTTATGGAAGCATTTACAGGTAGTGTAGATTCAAGTTTGTTAAAATCATGACCCCCGGGGGTAGGGCGGGGCCACAATGGCTGAAATAAGTTTTACATAAAAATACATAGGAAAATTCTTAAAATGTCATCTTCTCCATAATAGCAAAGCCATAATTGATCATATTTAAATGGAAGCATCCTCAGGTAGTGTAGATTCAAATTTGTTCAAATCATGACCACCGGGGATACATTGTAGGGTGG